GGAGGAGGTGGTGGTGGTGACAGAGGGATGCAAGAGGATGGCAGAGCTGGAGAACGTAGAGAGCAGAATGGACACTGAGCACAGGAGGCACTTTTGTCCTCATTGTGTTTCACCAGCACAGGGAGGATTTCCTGGTACATGAGGACAAACCTGCTGCTGCGGGCTCCTTCCCCTGGGGCTGCAGGCAGTTGGGAATGCCGTAGTTCCTGGCTGCGCCGCCTCAGACAGACAAGTTCTTTGTTTTAAACACCAAAATTCACCCATTCAAGGGCAGCGTTCCTCAATGAGCAAAAGATGGGGCTCCCCGCGGTGCCGGGCCCGAGGTGGCAGCTCAGGCAGGGCAGGGCTGCTGTAACCACCGTGTGGAAAGCTTGGAAAGCCACTCATGCAGCTTGGAAACCCGCTCCTGCAGTCACATAGCGCTTTGGGAAAGCTGCAAGAGAGCCGGTGCGCGAGGTGGGAGGAAGAGACGGGCGCAGCGTAGTATGGGCCAACGCCACAGCCCGTTCCATGCACCCGCTTCACCAGCAGCGCGCTTGCAAGCGGTGCCTGCGCCATGCCCGGCTCCAAACCTGCAACCATCCAGCTGTGCTGCTGCAGCGCGGGAGGGCGCATGGACCTGCCCACCCGGGACCCCCGGGGCTCCGTGCTGGAACACTGCCTTAACCCGCGCTGGCAAGCGGCAGCCTAGGAACACGCAGCTGTGGCCAAACCCTGGCGTGCTGCACCCAAGGGGCAGTGCCGAATCTGTGCCACAGGCTGCAAATTAAGAAGGGGAAACACTACGGAGCCAGTGCGAGATCCAAAGTGGTGCTGAGCACCCCAAAACCCCACCGAAATCCATGGAGAAAGGGTCGGCGCATCAGCCCGTGCTTCAGGAGGAAGCACAGGAGAGAGAAGTGGGGAAGTGCAGCCCCCGAGCTGCAGCGCAGCCGCTGCTCCCTGCCTAGACCCCTGCGCAGCACCGGGCACAGGCTCTGCCCCACAGGAGGGCGATGGGGACGGGACGGGTACCGCCACTGTCGCTGCAGGCTCCAGTACTCTGTAACCTATTGTCTATGTAAGAACAATGAATGTTACCACGGTAAATTATTATTACATTAAAAAAGAGACCACAAAAACTGCTGCTTGCCTGGAAGATGTTCATTGCCCAAAGGGGAAGCACTGGGTAACAGTGGGGGTAGTGGCCTGTGGCAAGCATGAAGCTCGGGGAATGCCAGCCCAGAGCAGGAGCTTGGCAAGAAGAGGTGGTTACAGCAGGCACTCGTGTCCCAGGGTACCTGTTCCCACTCAAGAGAAAGCCAGCAAGGCTGCGAGCTAAGAAATAAGGAGCAGCACCAAGTCACTGCATAATATACACACTTTATTTATGAATTTGTATGTATACAGACTTTCTATACACACATTACCTATATAATAAAAATGTACATGTGTATACATGGTCGTATAAATATAGAACTGTAGAAATCTTAGAACTGATCCTGTCTATTCACAGCAACTCCTCCCGCGGGACCGCTCTGTTCGAGTGGCGTCATTTGAGGCTTGGACAGAAGGGACAAGTGTCGTTTGTGTTGGTTTGTGCCCAGAATTTGATGCACTGGAAGAGAGGATCAGTCAAGAGCCACCAGCACAACTTAGATGGGCTCTGACCGTTCCTTCCTGAACAGGGCCGGACAGGGCACTCGTTTTAAGGGATGGTTTCCTTCACTCCACGGTGACAGCCTCCATCCCAAGGCCACCACACAGAGGGAGCCCTCTTAACCCCAGCAGGACCATCAGACCCTCCTCAATACACCATTTTCCCAAATGGCCACACAGGGTGGCCCAGCTCAGAGCACAGGAAGGAGGGATGAGAGGATGCAGGGTGGTTTCTCAATCACACCCTGGCAAGATCTCAGTACAACAGGGACTAGCTACACGTACCCAGGGCCCCGGAGGGAACTGGCACTAGGAAGTGTGCTGAGGAGCACACGAGTAGTGCACAGTGGGGGAGCACTCACCTCCTTGTGCAGCACGTGTGAGCAGGCCATGGGGTGAAGGTCACCGGGCTGCACGAGCTTCTGGCACATGAGACACAGCTTGCAGGCAGCCGGGGTCTGGGATGAGAGCGAGGGGACAGAAAGGAGACAGGGAACAGAAGTCAGGCACCCCAGCTCGGATCATGTACTCACACTCCAGCTACTAGAGCCACCAGCTGCAGCCAGGGCCGCAGCCTGACCCATTCCTCCCTCTGCACGCAGCCATCATGTGGTGTTGGAGCATCCAACATCTCTCCTGGGGCTGTTCCCAACACGAAGCACCGAGGAGCCATGCCCCTAACCCTTCCCTCCTGCCTCACCAGTCTAAGGAGCTGTGTGAGGAGAGAGGTCCCAGCTCCACCAGCTCATCCCCTCAGCCACCTTCCCTTGGATTTCCCTAGGGATGGCAAAGTACTCCAGGAAAGCCCAAAAGCCTTACATGTGCCGCTGTTCCAGGGTAAGCCACCTGGGCCGGGGGCAGGAACATGGGTGTGCTGATCTGGGGCAGCGGAGCGGAGAACATGGGTGCTCTGATCCGGCTGAGCGGCTGCAGCAAGGCAAACAAGGGGCATCAGAGAAGCCCAAAAGGAAAGGCCAGATGAGTTACCCCGAGTTACCACAGAGAAAGCTGCTCCCCAGTCACACAAGCATCCCATTCCCACCTGAGCCCCGGCCGCTGCCCGCTC